AAATAAAAGGTCTAAATATGTGTTTTGTTGGTTTTTTGCATGGTTAATTTTATTAAGACCAAAATAAGATATTTTGTAGAATAATAATTGTAATGTTTCGTCTTCACCTACGAGTGGGATTAAAAATGATTCATCGTCAATTTCTGTAATAAAGTCTGCATTTCATTGATTAAAGTCGCCATAAACATGCAGTTTTACTTCTGGTTCCATATTTGAAATTAAATATAGTTTCAACAATTTGAAAAAGATAGTTCAAAAGACTGCTTGTGGGCATGTTCAGGTGGAAAATAAACCGAAGAAAAAATGTGTATTTCACCGGCAATAAGTGCTTGGACCCAGACATTTTCGAATTCCTTGTGCTTATTTGTTATGATTTCTTCAGAAGTAAAGTCAGCATTGAAGGCAATGAGCACTCCACCACCAGACTTTTTATTACAGAGTTGAAAATTCCTGTCGTGCCGGAATACATTAAAATTGTTGCCAAAAATTTTTTCGCTTCTGACGCTTTCGTCCCAGCTTGTTTCAGTTCCAAGAATTATTAGAAAAGAAGAAGATCGAAGGTTCTGGTGGATTTCTTTCATTTTAGCTGGGCTTTTCATGCGATTGAAATTTTGGCAATACACCAAAATTTGAGTCGCATTCTGTTGAGAAAGTGAAGAGATTTTTGGAGGGTCGGTAACTCTTACATTAGCAGGGTCTACCTCATGTAGAGTGTCGTCATTCGATAATAATAATTCCCTTGCATGGGAATAGTCGTCTTTACTTCCTTTAGCAGAGTGCGACAGTGCCGTTGAAAATTTGGAGGACTGTAAAATTTGCTCCATAGTTTGCTGCAGTCGTTGTGTGCGTTCACCAAGTAGGAACGCGCGGTGTGAATTCAGGTCTGACATAGCGTCGGTGCGTAGAATTCCGAGTTTCCTTTTATGCGAAATGTTCCTGGACGTTCAGCCCAGGAACATTTCGTATAAAAGGGATGTGTCCGTTGGTAGTCCTTCTGCTGCCAGCATTAAAGTTGCACTAGTTTTAGTGATTCCGCGAATGCATATTGAAGGTGGCTGGTCGTGCAAGTTAGAAAGATAAGTCCACACAATGTCCATAATTTTGGGGTCCGCAGCCGTGCCTTCAAAAAGCTTCGATCACCAGCTGCAGATTGTTCCGTGAGTCTGACTATTGGCGGTCGCATTGGGTCCAGGAGTGGAGGATGTTCAGGTTCAGTAGGTTTTTCTGTTTTATAAGGGTTGATAGTTTCACCTTTTTGAAAGTTTATAAATATTGGTCCATTGTCTGTTTTAGGAGGCCGAAAGAATTGTACACGCTACTATTTAATTTTCCTCGTTATTTTCTTTCACTCATTAAGCTTAATAAATTCTGAGCAGATTTAACATCACGATTAAGGACCTAGCGTAGTTTCCAAGGCTCATCAAATTGGATGATAATTTCTAAGGAACTCACTCCAAGGGAGCATGCTTGGCATGCACAGTTGCACACATCAACTGCTTATTTGTTAATAATTTTTAATTCAGTCGTTGAAATTTGGGTTTCTTTTAATTAATTGAAAGATTAGGATCATAGTTTACTATACATATGCAAAGAGTAGGTAAATATTAACAATTCAATCAACACCAATGAATTTTTACACTTAAAGTTCGAGATGTGCAGCGAGAATTTCTCACTTCATTTTTACAACGCAAATACAAATTCAGCCTATTACTAGTGTTAAAATCTACTTTTGTACGTATCTATAACAAGCTTAAACTCTAGTCTTATGTAGTGCTTCAAAAAGAACTATGTTTCGTCAACTGTGTGCAGAGTTATTAGCAAATGAGCAGCTCGTGACCAAAACTGTGTATTCCAAGCATTCAAGGGAGTTCCGGGAATAACTGTGAGGAAAACATCAAGTACAATCGGGTTTCAATGTAGTCCTGAAGAACTCCAGATTCTATGTGCAGCCTGAATACAACGGTAGTTCTGAGTAGAACGCCAAGTAATTTTTTTTTTGCTTTATTAGAGAGATTTTTAGCCTTGGGCTACGCCAAGTAAATTCTGAATACGATTAAAAAAAATATAATGATAATTAACACGAATTTCTGAACTTAATTCCTAAGGAATTCTGAAGAGGACTAACAGGAAATTCAAAGAAGTATTTTAAAGGAATTCTGTTGACAATTTAAAGAAGTTTCTGGGAGAAAAATAATCTGGAGCATACATCCATGGGAATTTTTGGAGAAAACTTCGGTAGTATGCTAAACGAAGGACTACAATTAAATCTGGAAATAATTCCTGGAAAGGAACGCGGAACAGAATTCCAGGAGGCTTGTGACTTGAATGCCAAATAATTTTCAATGATAAATCTATGAAATTTGTTACTCCACTACATGCAAATTCTTAGAAACTTTCAAAATAAGTACAATTCCAAGGGAAGAAATAACATTCAAAAGGAATTCTGCCATGAATTCATTAAAAATTCTGAGAATAATTCCAAAGGATTGCCTACTGAGGAGCATTTCCAGTGAAATTCCGATGAAAATTCCGTAGGATATGAATTCTGAGGATGATTCCAACGAAATTTCAAGGAACATTGGAATTTCTGGAGAATACAAAGTGAATTCTGAAAAGAAGTTCAATTGAATTTTTCGGTGTAATTTTCCGAGAATTCCTAGGTAATACCTTTGAGGTAACTCTAAGACCAGAAGGTCCCGAAGAAACGTGCTCAACTTTTTGGCTCAGCTCTGGTAGTCTCTTCGGTCCCAAGCTAATCGATGCACCCCTCGAAACCTAGGAAAATCCATGAACTCCTCATTTTATCTGTCAAACTTTCATAGCGAATCAAAACAAACATTATGTAGTACTAGAATTTCGACTAGAATGGAGTATGCTAATCGATTTGCTTGGGACCAATAGGCTAGTCAAGTAGTGAGCCAATTTAAAATCTTTAGTTTACGCCAGTTGGCAATGCTGCATGAGTTTTTTGAGTGTTGTGTAGATGATAATTCTAACCTAGAATTTTTTTCAAGATATTGGACAAAAAGAAAGATCCAAGATCCAGGATATTGAAGAAAATTATAGATTAATAAATATTGAGATTTAATGTTTGAAAGTTCTTTGATCCCGGATTAAGGAAAATCTTCAAGACTAAGGTAGTTTTATATAAAAATATTCCGGATATCGAGAATTATCACTATTATGGACTATTATGGAATTATGATGCTAGTGTCCCATCCAGAAATGACCAGAATCTTTGATATCTCGAAAAATTAACAAACTGGCAGCCCTATTGCGTGTTGTGTATTGGCTTTATATTATGAATTGGATACTCAAAACTCCCAAAATGGATATTTTAACCATTTTTCGAATATAAGAATAAATAATTACTGGCCTTAGTAGAGTGGTTTGGTATTTGTGTTTGACATTATAGACAGGATAAAATATTTTTTATTTATAAGTCGATAATTCTGTAACTCGATGGTCCCTTCAATATCGAGTTATGTAGACTTGACTGTATCTTTAAAATAAAATAATAGAAGGATATAAATTTTTTGAGTTTTTACTCAAACTTAAAAAAAAATAAGTAAACCATATACATTTTTTCTAGAAAGACTTTAAATTTCTCTACAACGTTGTCTCAGACGTCATTTCAATCAGAAGTTACGTTTTCGTGCTACAATTTATTCGAGAATGACAAACATGTCATTTTGAATAAAATAATATCCAAAATGACCGATTTTTTGTAATATGTGAATGTTAAACACCTTTATACAAAGTTTTATGCAAATCGGAGAAGGTCGAGTTTTCGCGATTCGTCATTTGGCGTGGAACTGCTCAACAACGATATTGTATACTAAAACCAGGTAATTGGATATAATCTACAGTTAACTCTCCACTCGATATTCTATAACTCGATATTTTGTATAACATGATGGATTCTGCGGTCCCTTCATTTTACCATGAATCGTACTCTCCATAAGTCGATATTTCTACAAGGCGATGCGTCCTGTGGTCGATGATCTATGTAGTATTATTTTGATTCTATAACTCGATATGTCAAAGGTTGAGCTTCTGAATTATGTAATGATGATGTTAAATTTAAAGGAACTTTAAAAACATGATAACTGGTGGTCATATTGAGTACCCAGGACCCATCGACCATATCAGAACATGTTCTTGGCGTTTCGGGGAAAACGTCCATACCTTTAATTTCTCTCTATCAGACAGGTAATGTTGACTGCGCAGGAGGAATGCCGAAGGTTATGTTTTTATTTTTCTGGTCCTGGAATATAGATATTTTTCGTAAATTATTAGCGGACATTCACAAGTTCACAGATTTAAAAAAAATCAACATAACCAACTTTGCATAGGTTTTAAGGCTAACGAACTTTGATGATAATTACTAATGAACATGCAATGTAGTTTTTAAGGTAGTCCTGAGGAACTCCATAATCTATGTAGAACCTTTGGAATACCAAAGTAGTTCTGAGTAGAATTCCAAATAAACCCTCAATTGTACTTAGAGGAAATTTTAATTAAAATTCATAGTAATTTCCGAAGTTAATTCCTAAGGTACTCTGAGGGAGCGCCAAGGAAATTCAAAGTACAACTCCAAAGGAATTCTGAGGATAATTTCAAGAAAGTTCAGGGAGAAAATGAATCTGGAGTTTAATTCCATGCGAAATTTCGGTTGTTAAGGCTGACTAAAAGTACATTGGTACACCCCTCGCGCGCCGCTAGCACGCCTCTAGTGTTGGAAATCGAAAATCTTTGACAGTGGTTTGTTCACTCTTCTATAAGCTATTTTAAATGACGTCTTGATAACAGTTCCTGGCGGGCCACTCAAACGCGCTCAAGACATTGCTATTGTTTACGTCTGATGTTTTTGTTTTGATTTTGGTCGTGGTATGTCAACAAATCGGCCCGCTGGTAAACGCCAAAATAGGTAAACAGAAAAAAAAACAGCTGACTTGAAACGTCTCGTAAAATGCCTTATAGAGAACAACTGGTGCAAGTTTGATCAAAGTAGTCGATCGCGTTCAGAAATAACGTCAAATGGAACCCGAAAGAAGAAAAAATATTGTGCACAATCACCTGGAAAATCCGAAGTGGTCCGGTTCCAATCTGGCTAAAGTGCCGAAGATGTCGAAAACAACAGTTTGTCGAGTGCTCAAAACCTACAAGGAAAGCCTGAGTGTGGAAAGGAATCAGCGGATCTACGAAAAACTGGAACCAGGGAGCGTAAGCTACGCAGCAAGGTGTTGAGGTGCGTTAAAGCCAACACCGGTCTTCCGATCCGAGATGTGGCCAGAAGGTACAACACAAGGGCTGCACTTTGATCGATGTCGAAACATACGTCAAACACGATTTTAAGCAGCTTCCCGGTCAAAAGTTTTACATCGTGACTGGACGTGTGGATGTGCCGGGAAGATTCAAGTTCGTGTTTGCCGACAAGTTCGCGTAGAAGGCCATGATTTGGCAAGCGATTTGCAGTTATGACATGAAAACGGAACCATTCGTCACATCCTCAACGATGACATCCCAGGTTGACATCGAAGAATGCCTGAAAAAGCGTGTATTGCCATTCATCCGTAAGCATAGGGGCAAAGTCATCTTTTGGCCCGATTTGGCCAGCTGCCACTATTCCAAGGTGGGTCTGGAGTGGTATTGTCCCCCAAGCTAATGAATCCTCCGAATTGCCCAGAATTTCGACCAATCGAAAAATACTGGGCAATTTCAAAGCAGCGACTTTGACGAAGCAACGGGGCAATCAAGGACATTCAGCAAATGTGGCTAAAATAGAAGAAATGCGCTGATTCCGTGTCTGTTTCTACTGTGCTGGCACTGATGGGCTCCATCAAGAGGAAGGTTCGAGATTTCGTTTGATCTGGAGAAATGTACACACTAATCGAGTCAGTACGGTTTTACCGAGTTTTTGAATTACGGAACTGTTCGGTATAAGTTTAAAAATTTGTGGAAAATTTATTAATGAGAAAATTTGTTCTGAACTTGTACATACATAGTTTTGTTAACCCCATTCAATGATAGAAAATAAAATTGGTTGATTTCATTGATTCCTTACGGATAACGGTCATTTGAATTTTTACCGACTTTTTCAGCAATTCAAAAACCCAGTAAAAAAATACTGACTCCTGTAAAAAAAATCTTAGTGTGTAACCATCTAATGCTGTAACTTTGATATTTTAATAAAGGTACTGTAAAGCAACCATTAATGGACTTTTTAAACTTTATTAATCACGAATTACAGGTCTTTTTGGGCGTACCCATTTACTTTCAGTCAGCCTTTACGCTAAAAGGAGGATTTCAATTAAATCTGAAAATAAATCCAGGAGAACTTCAAAGGAACTCAGAAAATAATTCCGGACGAGTCCTGACTTAAATGCCAAATAATTTTCAATGAAAAATCTATGGAGTTTACTTGCTTCACTGCAAATGAATTATTAGACAACTTTCGTAGTGAGTGACTTCCAAAGAAAGGAGTAAAATTCAAAGGGCATTCTGAAACGAATTCATTGAAACTTCTGAGAACAATTCCGAAGGATTTCACACATAGAAGCATTTCAAGATAATTTCGAGAAAAAATTAATTCCGTGCATGATTCCAACAAAATTTCAAGGACCAGTTCAAGGGAATTGCAAGCATATTGCGGTGATATTTTTTTTTATCAAGAATTCAAAAAAGAGGTCCAAGGTAATCTGAGGAGCATATCATAGAATTTATGGGCGTCCTGTTCCTAAAAAGGAATTCCTAGAAGATTTCTATAGGAATTTCTGAAGAATACATATTGCTGAGGAAAACCCCAAGAGAATTTTCCGGACAAACCATCAGGGAGTTCTTAGGTTATACTGCATGAATCATTAATAATTTGAAAAGCATTGCAGAAGTGAATTAAAAGAGTGTTTTGCAGATGATTTTCAAGAGTATTATGGTGCAAATTATAAGGGAACACCGGAAAGAGGTTGTTGGTTTGCACCATCGGCTTCGGGCTCTGTCACATTTGAATGTTTATACCGGCAGCAAATAACGAATATCTGATGAAGAAGCGACATTTACAGGCTCTCTTCGATGTCGCACGGATGACGAAGGAGTCTGCTTCAGCAGTTCACGCATTGGTAGACCCATTCGAACGGCACATCAATATTCTACGCCAGCTGGGAGAACCTACCGACACGTGGAGTGCCATCCTCGAACACTTGCTATGCGCGCGCCTACACGATGATACCAACCGGTGGAAACTAACGATTTAAAATTGGCTCACTACTTGACTCGCCTATTTGTTCCTCCAAGCAAATCGATTAACGTACCCCATTCTAGTCGAAATTCTAGTACTACATTATGTTTGTTTTGATTCACTATGAAAGTTTGACAGATAAAATGAAGGGTTCGTGGATTTTCCTATGTTTCGAGGGGTACATCGATTAGCTTGGGACCGAAGAGAGTACCAGAGCTGAGCCAAAGAGTTGAGCACATTTCTTCGGGACCATCTGGTGTTAGAGTTACCTCTATGATGATACGCTGAAGGTCTGGGAGGACTATGCTTCGCCATACGCCTACATCGACATCGAAGAAGCCGTCGATAAATCTTTCATCGTGCTCGTCCACTGCTAGCACATCGAAACGGTGTCCTGCCTGTAATCAACCGAATCTGTTGGGCAGATGTTTTAAATTCCAGCGTTTTCCTCTGTCTGAACGTCAGCAGATAGTTATTGCGAAGCGTCTGTGTCTAAACTGGTTCAAAACCGATCATATTGTTCGCGCCCATAAGAATCAAATTGCAGGCACTGTAATTATTGGCACCACACCCTTCTGCACTCTGCTTCATCGGATGCTGACCGCAGGCCATCTACCGAAGGCTCATCGGTAGCTTCGACGTCATCTTCGGCCCCACCGATTCAGTCTCGTTCGTCTTCCCAGACAGATTCATCTGAGCAATCAATGGTGGCCGCATTCGAAATTGTTCCCGAGGTAGAAACCAGCGTTCATGTTCAGCAGCCAAGGGCAAATTGTTCCCGTTGACCGTGATCGAGAACATCGTTGACGCCTACGGACAGGAACATCCAGCGCACGCTTTTTTGAACAGCGCTTCTCAACCGAACGAATGGCACGAATTCTTCATTTGAGGAGGAGCAAAGTCAACATAACTGTCCAAGGAGCAGCCAAATTATCCAAAACAGTTCGGGTGTCGGTTCATACGGAGCTTCGGACTAATAATACTCAATTCTCATGCGGCATCAACGGGCATGGAAAATCATTTGCATGCATTTCATACATTCATTTACATTCATTTGCCGCTAACTTTTTTCTTCAACAGCATTACGCAAAATGATGTTTATAGCTTTTGTAGGTTTTATTATTAACTACAGCTTTTGTTAACAAGTCAAATCCGTATTTCTTATGCATGACGAACTAGAGCGGGCAGAACTTATTACTGTTTTTCAGTGATTGTAAAATACATTCACTGAAAAACAGTAGTGGCTTCTACATCATTTTGCGGAATGCTGTTGAAGAAAAAAGTTAGCGGCAAATGAATGTAAATGAATGCACGAAATGAATGGAAATGATTTTCCATGCCTGGGCATCAAGTTTCTGATGATGGATAAGGTGACAGCAGACCTTCCGTCGCTGAATATTCCCACGTTTGGCTGGAGCATTCCGAAGGATCTGGTCTTGGCTGATGCTTCCTTCAATAAATCTCGACCGATTGATTCGGTTCTGGGGGCGAAGCACTTCTACTCGTTCTTTCTCACCGCAGCCCGCTTGCAATTGGCTCCTAATCTTCCCGTTCTGGTGGATAGCGTGTTCGACTGGATTGTCACCAACTGCGTTACCCAAAATCAACCGGAAGCCATTTCCACTTCCAGCACTGCCCAACAAACAATTTTAGCTGCAGTTTAGCTTATACAGGCAAAAATTAGCTACATAAGGCAAATTTTGGCTGTATAAGCTAATCTGCAACTAAAATTGTTTGTTGGGTGTGGCTGTTTCGATGGTACCGCTCGAACGCTTCTAGAAAATCGAAGAACTCCTTCTGAATTATCACTACTCTGTTGAAGAAAGGCACTGCGAGGAACTGTACCAATTCACTAATACTAAAAACGAAAAAAGTCGTTATGTCGTTCGTCTACCTCGTCAAACCGACATCGATATCAAGCTTGGCTCCTCGAAGACCAACGCTCTCCGTCGCTTCGAAACCCTAGAGCAGAGATTTGAACGGGATTCCAAGCTAAAGGCCGATTCCCATGCTTTCATGCAGGTATATCTTGACCTTGGCCACATGCGCTTGGTCGGATCACATGAAGAAGAACCATTGGTGACATACTACCTTCCCCACCATCCAGTGTTCAAGGATTCCAGTACGACCACCAAAGTCCGGGTGGTTTCGACGGTTCAGCGAAGACTTCGACTGGTTACTCTCTCAACGAAGCACTGTGTATGGGCCCTGGTGGTGCACGACGACCTTCTGGACATTACGGTGAGGTTTAGGACGTTCAAAGTGGCAGAGCTCGACGCTGATGGTGCAATCCAACAGAGGTCTAAGATGAACTCTGAAGGTATTGTGAGATGATTCCAAGGAAGTTGTTCAGTAAATACTAAAGAAAGCCTGTCAAAAGTTCCAAACGTGTCAGGATCAGGGTTGTTAATCGATAACTCGATAACGTCTTTTTTTCGTTAACGCCTGCAATTGGAAATTCTCATAGCAGGCGTTAACGAAAAGACGTTATCGAGTTATCGATTTACAACCCTGGTCAGGATGACTCCAACGTGGATTTTTTTCGAGATCCTGAACATAAACATAAAATTAAAATTTAGATTTCTTGTTTAGTAATTTTATGATTGAGGATTAAGAAATATCTTCCAAGATCCAGGAAGTTTTATTTTGAAATTTCCAAGATTCTGGAGCATGAGAAGTTTTCAAGTTGCAATGCCGAACTTCAGAAAGTTTTTAAGATTGTGATCTTAAAATAAATCATTTCATTCAGTTTTTTTTTAAATTCTGGCACTTTGAACATTTTAAAGATCTTGAATATGAACTTTGGATACTAAACATTATCCACTCTCGTAAATAATGCAGACAGTGGAGAATGCGTTTTGAATGATCTTTGTTTACGCTAAAAGGTGCAGAAAATGAAGTTTTGAGAATATTTTATGCATCAAAATAACTTTCTTTTCCAGCTCCATTGAACAAAGAACAAATGTCCACCAAATTAATAAACATTTTCAGACAAATATCGTTGCACTCTTTAATTTAAACGATTAATTACCTTTAAATTAAGATAAGATTTAATTTTAGTTTTTAGTTCTTAGATGTCAATTGTTTTACTGGCATGCTGGATTAGAAAACCTGTTTAAAATACTGAAATGCCAAGGCAGGAACAATGTAAATACTATTAGATATATATCATAACTATTAAGGCTGGTAAGTAAGTGTAGCAGCTGGAGCACCTAGGATAAAATTAAATGTAATTTATTTTGATTTTGAAAAAAAAATCATTCTCCTCTTGCTGGGGATGATTTAGAGGATAAAATTAAAAAAAGATTATTTTTATTTTACATGAATTTAACGTTGAATAACAATTTGTGTTGCTTCAGGCAGAATTAATGCTAATGTTGAAGTGTTAGACTCTTAGATCGGCAATATTCAAAATAATATTTTTTTTTTTTTGAAATTAATATGATTTTTTTTTTTGTTTTTGAGGATCGCTTTCTATTTTGATAATTTTGAGTTGAAAACTCAAGCGTTGATGAATCTCAAAGGATTCAAAACAATCTGTCTTGGCAATCTATGCCTAGGTGATTTCTAGCAACACTGCCAATGCAATCAAGATAGGCGCTGCTCGATTGGCTCTGGGCCTGACAGTTTGTTTGGCTCAAAACCAGCCTGTCCGCTCCTCTCTTATTCTAGAACCTCTCTAACCTCAACGAACGCGTGTTCGTCGATGGAGATTTTCAAAACAATCGCTTTTGATCTACACTGGGTTGAAGCTCTATAGTCATTGCGTGTAATAGTAAATGATGAAAACAGGCACGTATCCGGAATATACAATATATTTGATGTTAAGATTTAAACATGAATATTACATTAATTTAAATAACCAGTTTGACATCTAATATTCAGTTTTTACAAAACTGAGACGACAAGACGTGATTTCAAAGATCCATATAGATGATTTGCGTCGCTGAGAAGGCAGCTAAGCAAGAAAACAGACTTGCTGAATAAACCACGATCGTGGTACTACCATATGCATCAATAATGCTTCCAATAGATAGAGATATGATGACCTGAAAGTGTATCAAGAAGATAGTAAGTTCAACGTATAAATGCCGCATTAAGTTCAGATACCTGTGCCAAAAATAGCATGCTGCTAAGAATAGATATGTCTGCTCCAAAACCTCGAGTCTGGGTATTTGGAATGTATCGTCCATCAATCACCTCAAACTTAGAGATTAAATCCAATTTAGATATTTTGAATAATAAACTGAAAAATATATAATCTTACCGATTTTTTTAAGTGATACTGGGAGATCAGTAGAAATGGTAGCGAATAGATTGTGGCGTATTTGACACCCATGGTTACACAGCAGATGAATACGGAGAACTTGGCCTTATGAATAGCCATCAGCATCATCCCGATGCAGTTCAGCAGCAGTCCGCCAATGTACACAGATCTTGTGCTGAAAGTGTTAAAATTTTTAAATTAAAATTGACAGAATAAATGGATGAGATTTACCTGAATAATTTTATGACAGATTCTATAACCATCGAATACATCGCAGAGCTCAAAACGAATATGGCCATACCTAAACTCCCAAAGCGAAGTCCTTCGTGGTACATCTCCCACATAGAGGAGCCTTCGGCAGCCTGTTCAAAAAAAATGAATTAACATGTGTCACGACAACCGCTTCATAGCACAAACCATTGCATCTCCATGGAATATCTCCCTTCCCACAAAGTCCGTAAAGTACAGACAATAACTAAGGTATCCTAAATGTGACAAAAATTGCGTAAAATAAAGTATTCGCAAAGCTTTGGGCAGCCGGATGAGATTCGCCAGAAACGTTTTGAGATTCAAGGGTTGACCAGTGTTCTCCGGATGGTAAACATGAGCCCTTTCTACCGTTTCCGACTCCATTGACATCACGCTACTGACTCGCGAGAGATTCAACTGGCGACGCTTTTCTTCATCGAAGGCTTCCTTCGAAATAGGTCTCAAAAGGTAGTCCTTTTCCAACAGCTCCAGCGGTACTTCCCGAAAGCTGGATAAGGTGGTGGCAGTTCCGATCAGAACGATTACGACAACCACTGCGAATACCGTGGCTTCGTTCGAACCCAGCATGATTCCGATGCTTGTGTCTGACCAATCGATAGCTCCGAGCATATATCCGACGAAGCCTCCAAAACCACCGATCATTACGGCCACTGTCAGTACCTTCGGGTGATCGTCTGGAATTTTGAAGCTGCAGAAGCTGAGGATACTCTGCAAGCGTATAGAACCTACCTGTAATGCACATGTCCAGAAAATAGGTTCTCGCCAGCCCATTGGTAGTTTCCACGCTGAAATCGGTCAATACCAAACCGATAGCCGTGATCAAAGTACCCCATCGGAATGTGGACATTGCTTGCGGGGGAACATCATCGTCGCCGAACCACATACCAATTATTCGTCCATAAGGCAGTATCAGCAATCCAAGCATCAACCCAATGCCAAGTGCCAGCAGAACCGGTCTCCGCCGACCCCATTCCAGCCGGAGTTGATCGCTCATCGAGGCTACCAGTGGGGCCAAGAAAAACCCAAGTGTCGGCGAAATGGCCCATACCATCGTCATGAACGTGTGAGAAATGCCGATACCCAACAGGATGGGTGATACGAACGCTGTTTCGGCGGCATAGGTGAACTGGATGCCGACGATGATGAAGGTCAAGCGGACTAGCTCCCAGCGTGTTTTGGGTCTGGAAAAAGGTAGAATCAGCAGATTGGATTACAATTCTGTGGAAGCTAGATTTAAGGTTTTATTTAATCATCGTATAAAACGTTCCACTGGAACTTATGTTTGATCTCAATTAAGTATTCCATGAGCATTTCCCTGTTTCGTGCTCTGAACTGCGAATCTTGGAGTCAAATGTGTTTAGAGTAAAAATCATGAGATTATAGAGGAGAGTCCAATGAATTTCCAAGATAAGTCAATATTTTTTCCTTTTACGTCTAGTGCTAGACGTAGCAGAAAGTTTAGAAATATTTAATCCGGAAAATCCGGAATATCTGCAAAAGTGGTCACTCCACGAAACTGATCCTAAAGCCCCGTGATTTTTCTTTGAAAACATTATGAACTGTGATATAAGAAAGAATTTGGGGTCGTGACATAAACATGGACCCAGGTTCGGTAATATTTTTACAGATGTTGCCCTTCTCACGAGTATGGCGTGTAATCTGTTGAAATTTAGCATTTTACAAATTTTTGTTACTTTAATTACCGATGTATCAGATTTGTACGAATCAAAACTGATTTCGATAATTATTTGTACAGATGTGTTGTTATTTAAAAAAAAATTTCTGTAGTTAAGAACTTGTTTACCCGTTATCAATAACTGAAAACTTTATGTAGTATTAAACCAGACTTCCTACTGAACACATGTTTTTCTCTAGAGGTTATGGGCCCAGTTACGTCCGGCCTCTGAAGTTGAAGCTAATTGATTTGAAGAATCCAGAAATTCGTTACGGAATTACGGAGAAGATGGGAGTGAAGATGTCAAGCGCGGCGAAAGTAGGAATAGTCCAGTTTGCTGGTGAAGGATACGACGTGTGGAGGTTCCGGGTCGAAACGCAGTTGTCCGCTCACGGCGTGAAGGAAATGATCACGAAGGATGTACCAGCTGACGAAGCGCAGAGGAAAACTTTTCAAGAAAAGGACGAAAAGGCGAAGGCTCTTCTAGTTGCATACATCGCGGATTCTCATCTGGAGTACGTGCGTGACAAGAACACTGCGAAGGAAATGTGGAACTCCCTGGCAAGCACGTTCGCGAAGAAGAGTTTTGCAGCGCAAACATACATTCGGAGGTCCTTAGCAACGCTGAAGATGGAAGAAGGAACACCGTTAAAGGACTACTTCCGAAAATTTGACGAGTTAGTCCGCCAGTTGAAGGGAGCTGGTGCTACTGTCACGGAGTTAGATGCCGTAAGTCAACTGTTCATTTCTCTGCCATCGACGTACGATGTTGTCACCACGGCTATGGAGAACCTGAGAGATGATCAGTTGAAGTTGGACACGGTGAAGGCGCGTTTGCTGGCCGAAGAGCAGAAACGAATGGGAAGAGGAGACAATTTATGTGCCAATGGTGTCTCGGATGGATCAGGATCAGCGTTTGCAGCGAAGTCGGAAAGAAGCAAGGAAAAGTCCAAGTTTCAAGGAAAATGCTTTGTGTGTGGTGAACAAGAACACAAGAAGGTTGCATGTCCAAAGTTCAAAAAGCAGTATGATCGAGCTCAAGTAGCAACTGTTCCCGTAGACAGAGAAGTGGCGTTGATGATTTCCCAGGAAGCGATCTACAAGTCGAAATTGGACATTGCATGGATATTGGACTCGGGAGCAAGTCGTCACATGGCCAATGATGAGCGGTATTTTCACGAGTTCAAAGAGTTCGACAGACCGCTGGCAATTGAAAGTGCCAAGCAAGGTGAGAAACTTATTGCTACTAAAGAAGACACAGTGAAAGCGAAGACGTTCATGGGTGAGAACAGTCTGACATTGTCCTTGGGAAACGTCTTATTTGTGAAGAACCTCAAGTTCAATTTGCTGTCATTGTCGCGGTTGCTGAAAGCAGGAGTCCAAGTGGAATTCCAGCCGGATCGAGCAGTGTTGTCCAAAAACGGTGAAACAATAGCTGTGGCGGAACTACGCGGAAAACTATTCTACCTGACGATGCAGCGTTATACATCAGATTCGGCCATCCTTGCGAAAGGTGATGGTGATGAGTTGCAGCTATGGCACAAACGGTTTGGTCACTTCAGCTTCAAGAATGTACGACGCCTGAAGCAGAGTGAAATGGTAGATGGAATCGGGGAAATTAACAATGAAGATGGATTTTGCGAGTCCTGTGCAGATAGCAAGATGACCCGGTTGCCATTCAACAAGAGTCGACCGAGCACAACAAGACCATTGGAGCGTGTTCATACGGATGTTTGCGGCCAGATAACACCGAAAACAGTAGATGGGTATCAGTACTTCGTGTCGTTTATCGATGACTATACTCATTTTGCTGTTATATATTTGATGAAACGGAAGGACCAAGTGTTTGATTTCTTCAAAATATACGAGGCCATGGCAACGGCAAAGTTCGGGAACAAGATCGCAAACTTGAGGTGTGACCTGGGAAGAGAATACTTTTCGAATGATCAGCTTGCGTACTATATGAAACAAGGAATTCAAGTTGAATCAACCGTAGGTTATACACCACAGCATAACGGAGTAGCAGAGAGGTTCAACCGGACCATTGTGGAAAAAATGGGGACTATGCTAGCCGGAGCACGGAAAACTATGTGGGGTGGAGCAGTATTGAATGCAGTGTACACAACAAACCGAAGTCCAACTGAAGCGTTGAAACAAAACTGTAACCAGATGTTGGGAAACTGAGAGTGTTCGGATGCCAGTCATTTGCATGGGTTCCGATACAAAAGAGGAGCATGTTGGACCCAACCGGTTTGCGCAGTATGATGCTGGGCTACGCACCAGCCGGTTATCGTCTGTGGAATCCAAAAACGAAAGGAAAATGTTCGAGACAAGTTTTCCGTTCAAGACACCAGAGAAATCGCTGGAGGAAGAAGTAGCTTCGAAGATGGTGATTCCTGAAGTTATTCCAGCCGTTGAAGAGATCAATACAGATGACGTGCAGCCAACGAATGAATTTGAAGATGACCATCAAGAGCTGTCCGAAGATGAGTTTGAAGATGTTGACGAAGTTGCTGACAACACTAATGAAGAAGGCGCATCGGCGCTACCACCACACTCAAAGAATGGGAGCAACTGTGAGGAGTGTGTTCCGAGGTCTAGTGGTTGGGAGCGTAGGACCCCAGGTTGGTTAGCTGATTTTATTGCCCCCTATAGAGCCCTTTCTGCTGCTGATGGATCCCAACAGGTTCCGACATGTTACGATGAGGTTGACGGTCATCCGCACGAGACGGAATGGAGGCAAGCAATAGCTGACGAGCTAAGGTCTTTGAAGAAAAACCAAACCTGGACGATGGTGAGGTGCCCTGATGCAATGAAGCCTTTGCCGAGTAAATGGGTGTTCACGTTGAAGACCGATGCTGACGGGAATCCTGTGCGCTACAAGGCCCGCCTGGTTGCCAAAGGGTACATGCAGCGGAAGCACGTGGACTATGAAGAGACGTTTGCTCCAGTGGCAAAGCTTTCAACTATACGAACGATTCTGGCGATTACGACGAACCGAAACCTGAAGATCCATCAAATGGAGGAAAAAGTGTACATGCGTGTTCCAGAGGGGGTAAGCAGTCAACCGAACGAAGCATGCTTGTTAAAGAAATCGCTATACGGTCTCAAGCAATCACCTCGCTGTTGGAACGGTCGCTTTAATGAAGTTCTGGTGAGCATGGGATTTCGTCGTTCCCGACACGACTACTGCGTATATGTGCGTGGACAAGGAAATCAAATCGCTTACATCGTTATCTATGTGGACGATTTGCTCGTGGTTGCGGGCGATCTGCGCATTATTGAGGAGATTAAAGATCGATTGAAACGAGAATTTGAAATGACGGATTTGAACGAACTACATCACTTTTTGGGCATCAAGATAGAACGTGACGAGGAAGATACTATGTATTTGTCTCAAGAAACACTTATCCGAAAAATACTAATACGTTTCGGAATGGACGGCTGTAAACCTGCCCACACACCCGCTGAAACTAAGTTGCAGCTTCGAAAGACCACTGAAGGATGCAACTATCCGTATCGAGAACTGGTTGGCAGTCTTATCTTCCTGATGCTGGGCTCAATACCAGACCTGTGCTACGTTGTGGGCTATCTGGCAAGATTCCAAGATGCTGCAGGAGAGGAACACTGGAAGCATGCTAATCGAGTACTGCGTTATCTTCAAGCGACATAAGACCTAAGGCTGATCTTTAAGAGGAACCCGCATGAACGACCGGTCGCTGTGTTTGTTGATGCTGACTATGCAAGCGACGAGGAGGATCGTAAGTGTGTTTCTGGATTCCTGATTAAGGTATTTGGATGTACTGCCGTGCGGTCGTCCAAGAAGCAGCGCACGGTAGCTATGTCATCCACAGAAGCTGAGTACATCGCATTGAGCTCATCTGTTAGCGAAACGATTTGGCTTACTGGACTGCTATCCGTTTTGTGTGAATCAAACTTGTATCCTGTACCAATCTACGAGGACAACCAAGAAGCTATAGCTATGGCAGAGAAGGAGGAGACGAAACGTGTCAAGTAATAGATGTCAAGTTTCATTTTATTCGAGAAGCGGTTGCAGACGGAAAGGTGAAACTTGTATATGTACCAACCCGGAAGCAAGAAGCGGACATTCTTACAAAGTCACTTCCAGCCCCGGCTTTAACACTTTTGAGAACGAAGATAGGATTGGAGGCCATCAACTGAGAGGGGGTGAAGAGTTGGATCGAAGGAGCAGTTGATTGCTGTAGTTATGAACTTGTTTACCCGTTATCAATAACTGAAACTTTATGTAGTATTAAACCAGACTTCCTACTGAACTGTCTTTCTCTAGATATGCCGGCTTAAGGCAGACGTGAGCTTGCCACAATCTAAAATTAAGGAAGCTGTTCACATTTCTGACAATCTGATTCTTCAAGTCTCCGAATATTTTGAGCAAAACGCCAGGAAACGAGCCAGAAAATTTATACGTTGCCAGAGAATAGATGAGCATGAAGAATCAGTGCGATACTTCTTTGATGTCTTTAAAAA